GTGTCGAAATTTCCTTATGAAAGCTCTGCTCCTGCGAAGCTTTTATGAGTAGTTTTTCTGCTGATTTCCACAACTCTGCTGTGATTAACTTGTGTTTAATTGCATTGTCTTGTGCCTTCTTTGTTTGGCGTATAGTAACTGTCCTATGTTTAAGTTCGTTGTCGTTTAGACGCCAATCCGGGTCGCAGGTTTCCCTGGTTCTTTTACTCTTTGTGCTCCTTGCACAACTGTATGAACTGTAGTATCTTTGCGGTCGCTCTGATTAGTCACTCCCATTTCTAGAATCTAGTGGCGTCTGGAATAGCCTCGCTGAATGTTGATTGCTGTTCGAGCCTCACTGTATTCACTCGCTCTTCGCGTGTGTCTCAGCTGCGTCTTCATGTGATGGCCTCTGGTTTTCGTCCAGGTGTAGAAACAAGGGCCCTGTGTACCACGCGTGAGTCTGGTTCGATTTGAGTTCGATGGTACGTCTCGGGTCACCGCATCCGTAATGTTGACTTTAGTTGGTACCCATCTCCAACTCTTCACTTTACTGCTTTCTTCGATTTCAGCCAGTCTATGCGCCACGAACGTTTTGTATGTCCTGGATCCTCGCTTTATCCAGGTCAATACTGTTCTGCTGTCAGTCCAATATGTTGTTGGCGGATCTATGTTGTGCTCTTCTTTTAATGCGGCAGCTATTCGCGTCCCCAACACCGCAGCTCGGAGCTCCAGTCTCGGAATTGATGTTATTTTCAGAGGTACTAATCTGGCTTTCGCCATCACTAAGGATACGTTCACCTGTCCTTCCACTGATTCGGCTTGCCAGTACGCTACTGCGGCGTAGGCCAATTCGCTGACGTCTGTGAAGACGTGTAGTTGGACATTGGCTGCCGCGCAGTAGCCTGGATAGCATCTTGGTATTTTGATGTCATTCAAACTGTGCGTCTATACTATACACACCTCGTGCGCCGGTCATGGGTAATATGATTGTGGAATAAAACGACGGCACTTTATAAACAAACACTATTTATTGTACAGTCACTGATTAGATAAAGTACGATAATCAACACTAAATTAATATGTAAATGTCTGGAAAGTTTTCTTATACTAGTAAGTTTTTGCACACACTTTAAACTGTCAAACACCAAGCGGTCACCGGTTACCGCAACCTATTGTTCTTTAATTGTGTCTATAATGACGGTACTCGACGAGTTAAAAGCGTTCGTAGCGAATTACAAACATTACTTTTTGGACTAAAAGAGTTCCACGATTGAAAACGGTTTGCACGAAATTGATAATGACACTGATAACAGTTTGTCTTGTACTTACAGTGATTATATACTTAATTCTACGGAGTTTACACAATATTATGTCTTTCCACGATTCCACGAACACTCGCACAAATTTTACTGATAACGGAGAAACGAGGGCGTTATCACTAAAAATCACTGAAGGTGATCGGTGTTTGATCGCGGCTTTGCCGATCCGCGATCTTGCTATAGATTTCGGTACGCTAGTATTACTAGGTCGCGACTTTGCCGATTCGCGACACCGAGGCTAGTTAAAGATAACTAGGACAGCTGTCGGGCAGCGGTTGCCCAAACACTGCACGACGTTCCGATGAACTGTGACGAACTGTGACCGACGATTGCCGACGAACTGTGTCGACGGGCTGTAAAACTGTTGCTATAGTTACCCCGGACTGTGCGACGTACGTTCGGTGACGGCACGCCGGTCGCACTTTCTGCTCTGTCCAATCCCGGCCCGAGCGAAGGAGAAGTTCTCTCCGTCTCGCTCTATTTCTCGGGCGGGGAGACCTCTTCTGGACAGAACAGAACTGCTTTTTCCGGGGCCTATTTTAATGACATTTTATTTATTTGCTCGTCTCCTACACCATTTTATTACTAATTTAATAAATTACGGTTATACGTTCTGAAATGGTGTAGGAAGACTGCGTCGATCGGAAGTACAGCCCGTCGATACGTTTCTATTGGATTTTACTTAGGCAAACAACTAATTCCTTAATCCTTGTGCAAGTGTTTACGTGATAAAACTACTTATTATCTAGAGCTAATAACTACTTATTATCTAGAGCTAATAACTACTTATTATCTAGAGCTAATAACTACTTATTATCTAGAGTTTAGCGTCTCTAATTTTCGTTGTCCTGCACACAAGCGTTGTAGCTGTCGAAGCTCGAAGCCAAATCGCCCACTGCTTCGCAAAATTTTCTGGTAGGCCCTGCCTCCAGGCTTCTTGTAGGATCTGTTTGGTTTTGATGGTAATGAGGGAACCTAATCCTAGAGTGTCATACAGAGACATCACTATCTTCAACGCCTCTCTTTTAGAGTGTCGTTGTTTCTGCAAAACATTGCTGGGTGGTTTTAGGAGCTTCATATTGAAGGCGAGCGTGTCTCGTTGAGGATCCCATATCAAACCAAGTATATTTTCCTCGTTATTTATCAACTTGACCGTGGTATCATTCATTTTGAGTACTGCTTCCGGTGCCAATGCCTTTACTATGCTTGTGTGGGTTGACATCCACTTCCGTAATTGAAAGCACGCTCTCTGGTGAATTTCCCTTTAACGGATGATGAATGTGCGGAGCAGTTTGCAAATTTTTTTGAGTCGGTGTATAGCAAGGAGCCACCCGTACTGGACGCATGCGCGGCGTTAGCGGAGGCTGGCGCGACCAGTTCGCGGGTCCATATCGAGGCGCTAAGTCTGTCGGAGGTTCAGCAGGCGCTTGGAAATTTGAAACCGAAACGATCATCTGGTCCAGATGGTATTCCAGCGTTTCTATTTCGAGACTGCGGGAGGGTGCTGGCGGAGCCATTGCTACACATATTTAACACTTGTTTGGAACAGGCGAGGTTCCCCTCCAGGTGGAAGACCACGCGCGTTATTCCGGTTCCTAAAGGGAAAACAGGTCCTGATATTTGTAATTATAGACCGGTGGCGGTACTATCGACGCCTGCTAAAGTACTAGAGTCAGCTATTCAGCGTTCCGTGCAGGGGCAAGTGCGAGCATGTTTATCCGATGCGCAACATGGTTTCAGGCCGGGACGGAGCACTACAACTAACTTACTCAACTTTATGGTGCAGGTGGTGCCGTCAGTTGACTCTGGAGTTCAGGTGGATGCCGCGTACTTTGATTTTCGAAAGGCATTTGATACCGTTGATAATGATGTTTTACTGAGAAAGCTTGCGAAGGTTGGATGTACGTTGCCTCTACTACAATTTTTCGCTAGCTATATGAAGGATCGCCAACAGTATGTAGATTACAACGGATATGAATCTCATCCGTACTATACTAGGTCGGGCGTGAGCCAGGGTAGCAATGTAGGGCCTCTTGAGTTCATCATAATGATAAATGACTTACCGGAAGTTGTCAGGCATGGGAGTTGTTTATTGTTTGCAGATGACCTGAAGTTACTACTCAAGGTTGAAGATAGCTCGGATTGTGAACGCCTGCAGGATGATATTAATCGAGTGGTTGAATGGAGTAATGTCAACAGACTTCACTTTAACGTGGACAAGTGCTCGGTGATGTCATTTACTCGTGCTAGGGCTCCTTTGTGGCATCAATACAGGGTGAAAGGCGAGCCGATGCAACGAGTCTCACAGGTACGAGATTTAGGGGTAGTCTTCACTCCAGAACTGACATTTCGTGAACACATCAATAAGATCTGTAGGAAGGCATACAGGAACCTGGGCTTTGTACTCAGACAAACTCAGGGGTTCACCAACATCACGACACTCAGGGTACTGTATGACACATTAGTGCGGAGTCACCTCGAGCACAGTGCAGTTATATGGGCACCGCACGAGGCGAAATACAGCGTCATGTTGGAACGTGTTCAAAATAAATTTACAAGGCACTTGTATTTCAAACTTTATGGAGTTTATCCATTTTACCCCCTGATGTACCCTACTCTATTTGTTCTGGGTATGGTAGGGTACAACGAGCTAAGGGTGCGGAGGGACTTTGCGTTGGTAGCGTATGTGGTGAAGCTGCTGCGCGGCGTAGCGCATAATCCGGGGGTGCTGCGACACCTGCAGCTATGTGTGCCGGACCGTTATGTGTGGAAGAGGAGACGCCCGCCTCTCCTCGCTGTGCCGGCAGCCAGAACCAACTTACTAGCTAGGGCTCCTCTCACTAGAGCTATGAGAGTAGTGAACGAAGTCCATGAAAGGGTGGATGTATTGTGTTGCAATGTGAGTGAATTCGTAAAAGTTACGTTGTATATATTATGTTATTTAAATGTTAATTAAGATTATTATTTCATTTCATTTTTTTATTATTGTTATTTAGTAAGTAGTTCACCGCTGATCTCGTGACCATAAAGTCTTTAGTATTATCTCTTTTTTTTATGGATAAATGTTAAGATTAATTAAGTTTGTGTATGCATATGTATTAGTAATTAGGTACCTACATAGATTTAGTTTTAGACCTAAGCTATCGCAATGGAGAAAACTGTAATGATAGTTTTAGGTAAGGTTTTAAATAAATAAATAAATAAATAAATAAGTGTGTACGGTTCACGTACAAGCAAATTGCTTACGCCGCGACCTACTTTTCTTCACTTACTTTATTCACCTTATAATTATAATAATTCAGTTGACCATTAACTGCCATCGAACTACAACCGCGGATAAGCATCCAATTAAACTTTCGTGTAACTTTACGAATAAACTGATTATTGGGACATCTGTGGTTTTCGTCAACTCATATATCTACAACAAATCAACTACTACTACTACTACTACTTGGCTACACCTGAACCATACATAAAATTGGTCCTTCGAGCCGGATATAACGTGTGCAGAGTGCTTCTAGTAACGTTAGCGAATCGGTCAAGCTGGTCTCCCAGAAGCGGGTCGCCCCAGTGAGATTGAGAAGGCGCATATAACGTTGTTAGAGGGCTGGCACACGTGTCCACATCAACTTCCTGTGAACTAGTGCCATTGGTGACACAACTCTACTGTACCAACGGTCAAAGTAACAGCTAACAACAATGGTTTTGGGTGTAACTGAATTGATAAGTCGTCAAGAAGCTATCTTCAGAGACTTGAAACTTATTTGTACTAACTACAAAAAGGACAGCCCCACCAGGAAGAACTTGGCATACTTGGAGGAGCGTCTTTCTCGCTTGAACAATAGCTGGGAAAAATTTGTTCACAACCATCAATTACTGGAAGAGTCTGGAGCAACAGACCTTCAATACTTTGACGACGATATCTTCAACAGTACGAAGAAGATGTATGAAGAAGTGCTGCAAGACATGTTGAAACGTAAGTCTGAACTACCGTCTGCGACTACCAGTAAGACGGAGCAACCACCCGCGACACCTAAGCAAGGTATGGGTAAATCAAAATTTACGTTCGACGATGTGAAATTCCACGTTCCCCCTCGACAAACAAGCGATTCGACGGAAAATCAACAAGATCTGCTACGTCAACAATATTGCAATTTTAGAGCATTTGAACGCACAGTAGAGAAAATAAACATTGCATTGATGGTCCTTATGGAAAAATGGGAATTAGAAGACCATTTAAACACACTAAAAACTAAATGGGACCACATCGAGAAAGCAAATTGGGAACTTGATTACATAATACAAGACGAGGACTCAATTTATCAACAAAAATACAGTGCAGCAGAAAAACTTTATGACGACGTAAAAAGGAAATTACAACATAACATCTGGAATAATGCACATTATGAAAAATCTACGCCAAAAATTCAAATACCGGATTTTCATGGTAATTATAACCTGTGGTTGACTTTTAGAGACCTCTATATTGAAAGTGTACATAACAACCCGACACTTTCAAAGGCTCAAAAAATGCAACATTTGAAAACAAAACTGAATGGTGAAGCAGAGAAACTGGTCCAGCATCTTAGCATCAGCGCGGAGAACTACACATCTTGCTGGGAAATACTGACCCACCGCTACGATAATAAACGGCTGCTATTCACGTCATACATGAATACCCTCCTGAATCAACCTAGCATTCAGTACCCCACCGCCACAAGCATCCGAAAACTTCACGATATCATGATGGAATGCTTGAATGGGCTCAAAAACATAGGGTTAGACACCACTAATTGGGACCCGATCGTGGTTCACTTGTTGGTTCAGAAGCTAGACAGTTTTACATATAACGACTACATAAAGGAGATCAAGAATCCCAGGAACGTTCCCGAGTTGGAAGAGTTCGCCGAGTTTTTAGAATCTAAATTTATGTCACTGGAAGCTCTACAGGGAAACAGTCAAAAATCGTCAGCAAACAGACCATGGAAATCGGAAAAGCAGAATCATCAATCACATAATTACAAGAATAAAACACAAGGGTCATCGTACTTTAACAAGTCACAAAACGCACCAAAAACCTTCTTCACGACAGCAAAAACTTGCCCAATTTGCAAAACCAATCATGTGTTGATGAATTGCGAAAAATTCTTGGCTATGAACATAAGCAAACGGAATGACACAGTTCGCGGCTTGCATATTTGTAAAAATTGCTTATTCAGCCACGGTGACAAACAATGCAAATCGCGAAAGACGTGCAAATTGTGCCATAAGGCACACCACACACTTATGCATGATATTGGTGAAACCGAGCTATCTAACAACAAAAAGGGGACAAAGGAAGAAAATTCGTTGTCGACCCCTTCGACTTCTTATGGGGTCAACAATGTAACTAACGACGGAAAAGAAGTGCTGTTGACAACTGTACTTCTGAAGGTCAAAACAATTGATGGAAACTTCATCAACTTAAGAGGTCTACTTGACCAAGGCTCACAAGTGAGCCTTATAACGGAAAATGCAGCACAACGCCTCAGATTACAGCGACGTAAAGCGAGCGCCGTTGTTTCGGGTGTCGGAAGCCTAAGCGGCAACTGCAAGGGAGCAATAAACTTAGAATGTCGGTCAATACATTCAGACTACAAATTCAACATTGAAGCATTAATTATGAAAAAACTTATAAGTAATTTACCTACTGCATCGTTTTCAATCAGCAGCTGGCAATATTTAGATAATTTAAAACTAGCAGACCCTCAATTCAACTTGTCAAGTCCGATTGATTTGCTCTTGGGCGCAGATATTTACTCGGAACTTATCTTAAACGGTATCATCAGGAGCGATGAAAGGTACCCTGTAGCTCATCATACGAAAGTGGGCTGGATTTTATGCGGGAATGTAAAAACATTCAACTGTTTCGTGACACTGAATGATATTGAAAACATGACAAGATTTTGGGAAACCGAGGAAATCCCAAATAAATCCTCATTAACGAGCGAGGAAAAACACTGTGAGGAATATTATAATTCCACCACAATAAGACTGGCAAACGGACAGTATGTGGTACAAATGCCCATGAAGCCTAACTATGAAACAAATTTGAGAAATGCAAGATCACAAGCATTAGCACAGTTCCTACAACTAGAAAGGAAAATGTGTAAAAACAAGGAACTGAGTCACGAGTATAAGCGTTTTATGAACGAGTACATCGCGATGGGGCACATGGAACTTGGCACCGAAAAAAGTAAGAGCCGAGTATATCTACCTCACCACGGAGTGTTGAGAGCTGAATCAACGACAACAAAACTAAGAGTAGTGTTCAATGCATCGTATAAGACAAAAGGGGACAGTAGTCTCAATGATCACATGTACTGCGGTCCGAATTTACAAAAAGATATTCTGACACTACTAATTAATTGGAGAACGTTCAGATACGTTTTTACGGCAGATGTCGAAAAATTGTATCGATTCATATGGTTGAACGAGAATCAACAACATCTGCAATCCATAATCTGGAGATCTTCTCCCAATGAGCCTCTACGAGAGTGGCAGTTGCGCACAGTAACTTACGGTACAAAAAGTGCACCCTATCTGGCAATGCGCACCTTACATAGACTCGCAGACGATGAAAATGATACCTACCCGGAAGCTGCAAACATCTTGAAAAATTATTTCTACATAACGAAACTTTCACCATTGCCGTTGAAACTGGAAGAATCGAAGAACGAAGAGGAAAGGTCTACTACTTCGAAAAGCAAAATATGGCGAGGCACAACAAAACAAAACACATGGCTATCACTTGTTATTCTGTCGATACTGGCAATAACAGGATGTGCACGATCATCCAGCAATAACATACAGGTTACACCTATACCAAATAATCATCCGATTTACTTCGATACCGCTGGCCAAATACAACTTATACACGACGAATGGACATTATTGGTTTATTACAACTTAACAGCATACTGGCGAGCAACTGATCAAATCAAGAATTATGTAAACCAAATAGATAAACTATGCAAAAGAATATCACATGAATACACGCCTTGCGAAACGATTGTCGATCACCTACGTCATGAATTGAATCATCTAACCGATTACAACTCAATGCTGCTTACTCAACACACGACACAACTTGCGGGGCCACTGACACCGCTTCTTCCTCTGTTTTGAAACTGTCTAGGTAATCGTCTATGTAATGATTTTTTGACGATAGCTTCGACGGCACGCGGTGATTTTTTTGCGTGTTGTTCCGCGTTCCAATTTTTTGCAAAGATCGCTGTACACGGGGAGCTCGCTGCACCGAAGATGATCGAGCTCATGAGGTATTCTCTTGGTGCTCCTTCTCTGTTGTTTCCTCGCCACAAGTATTGAAGCGCATCCCTATTACACGGCCGAACACGTACCTGCATGAAAATCTCGGCACATCATGACGCCTGGCAGCGACTGTAGCAGGTCAGGTACGGTCAGTGACATGCCGCGGGATCTTGCGGCAGCATCGTGAACAAGTCTTATCATGTCCGGCTTCGCAGGGTTGTGTACGTCGAAGTGAGCTAGGTACCATGTTTTCCACGGCGTTTCCTTCACAAGCTTCTTCAGCGTAGCCTTTGAGTTCGAGGTCCTCTAGTTGTTGATTGTATTTTGTTTTCAGCCCTGGGTTTTTGTCCAGAAGACGTTTCACAGCGTTTTCGTAACTGTCTGGCATATTGACAGTATTATTTTCAACAAAAGTCCGGTCTGCACGCTCCGTTCTCGAGTCTGCACACACTGTTATACAGAATCTCTTCCTCCTGTTTCTCAGGGTCGCTTTTTGGTCGGCGAGGGTTTACTATTAGCGACTCCAGGGCGAAGTACTCTTTGAGGTGATGGTCGATGTTCTCATTGATGTACAATTGGTGCATGAAATGTACGTGTTGTCCCAGAGCTCGCAAGCGCGCTCCGTATAGAACCCATCCCAGTGGAGTAAGCGATGTCACTGGTTGGTAGCTCGGGCCTCGTCTGGTCTCGGTGGCGATGAGTAGATGCCAGTTGCCTTGTCCTATTAGCAACCTTGGGACCGCTGTTCTATACTAGAGCCTCGTGGACAGATCCCTCAGGTGCGTACAGTCTTTAAAATCCTTGGGTTCCACTCGTTGCGGTGTTAATTTTAAGTTCGACACCGTTCGCGCACTCCCGTTGAAAGAAAGAAAGAAGAAAGAAAGAAAAATAATTTATTCCTATTCGACGTCCTCGAATCAAAATCGTAATGAACATTCTTACGTACGTGTCCAACTCCAGCTGATGAAATAGAAAAAATACACCACAGATTATGCATTTTGCATTTGTTTCACTTCCTGAGTCTTCTCTCAGTCATGAAAACTCATTTTTCCAAATTATGTGTACTTCTGTGACTCTTTTTTCCTCGTCAAGACTTTTCGCTTTTTAGATAGCGTGCTTGCGTTACCATTATGAACAGAGGATACTTGATCGTACAAATCCCACACTCCCTAGTCTTTTATCCTCAAGAAGGCTAGACGCCTCTTGAAAGATTCCCCCGGCATAAAAAAAAATACAAAATAAAGATGCTTGATCAGCGTTATCATGTTCGTCAATCATGTCATCCATAACGAATACAAACCAAACAAAAACAAAGTCACAAGCAAAACTAACCTCAGAGATGCCTCAGAGACTTCTCATATAGTATTGTAGTCTTTGCTTCTCATAACAATTTCTGGCATGCCATCATGCCATTGACACATTTGATAATTTTGCTAGAATGACCTAATGTGGCTGCGTTCACGAACATCCGAATGTGGCATAGAGTAACTTGGAATATAGGAACTTTCGGTTTTCATAATGGGTTTTTGCGTACTCTATTAGTGTTATAGAGGTGTGATTATTGAGTACGCCTACATGATATAGAGGACAATACTCGAGTACGGTGGGCAACCCTAGTTCAAGGGCGGAAAAAGTCCTTTTCTTCGACATAGTTTAAAATGTCTACAATTTGATACACACACGCTAGGATATTAGTAAAAACAAGTCTAAAAATTAATACAGATAAATAACAATACAATATTTAGTTATATGGTGATCATGAATTAACAAATTTCGCAAGGAGCACGCCGCTCCGAACTCCACCCTCCGCACGCCGCACCCCGCGGCCACGCCGTCTGCCACGAGCCCGCGCCCCGCGCGCCCGTTTTCTTCACAGCTCCGTCTTAACGAGTGCGTTAAGGCGCATAGGGACCCCGTTGCACATTGAGACTGCCAACGGGAATTTTAGGGCAGCTTAGGCATACCACCACCTCCCTGCCTACACTCGGCAGCGAGCCCTTCAGGCCCCCCTGGCAGCAGCGTCACCCGAGTTTGTTTGGCGCTTTCTTCTCGGGCGTCAAGCGCCAGGAAAGTGTTCAGGGTGGGCTTTTTTGGGGACTGCCGTAGGAGTAGCCCTTTTAAAATTCCCCATCTCCTTCGCTATGTCGAAGGAAGTACTAGAGGGTATTCTGGAGAGCCTGGCTTCTAGGCCGGACCTCCAGGAAACCTTCTTTTTATACCTCCAAGCGTTATTGGAAGACTTAGGGTTATCCCCCAAGCCCCAATGCCCTCCCCCCTTACACAGGATGTTCCAGAAAGACGGGACCCGTTATAACATGGTGGTCGCTTCGTGCGCTCCCACCGAAAAACACCACCCGGTGTTCTCGAATCTCGATTACTAAAATTTGCGGGCTCTCCGGCAATATGGCGCAATGCCATAAATGCCAATTATACGGCCATGCGGCAAAAAATTGCCATGGCAAGCCTAGGTGCGTCAAGTGCCTAGGCGACCACCAAGTGGCGGACTGCTCCCGCCCTAAAGACCGCTCTCTTTGTACCGAGCCACCCAGCTGTGTGCTGTGCGGCCAATCTGGCCACCCAGCCAAAGCACCCAAGTCCTCGGCGCCCAAGCTGGTGAAGCGAGCCATCGCCCGCCAAGTGAGGGAATGCCACCAAACCCCCTTGCCCCCCAACGCCCACGCCCCTGGAGTGTATTAAACACTCAGCGCCATTTCCCGGCGCTGAGGTTGGTCCAACAACCGGCCATCCCCGGAGTGATGGACCGCCCCATTATCATCCACATCACTCCCCACCCAGGCCCCTCAGGCCCTTCCGAGGCTTATGGACCGCCCCATGCTCCCCCCGCAGGCCCTTCAGTCCATCCCATCCCAGCCTCCGGCCCCGCTGCCCCCGCACAACGAGCCCCGGTCACCCCTTCGAAATCATCTCAAGCACCTTCTGTGAATTCTACACCCCCCGGGCCATTCAACTAGCCACTGAATTGAAGGCCTGCAGAGGCAATCTCCAGGGCATTCGGCAGGTGTACGACAAGTACCCTGACGTCCACGCCGCCTTTAGGTCCCTCCAATCCCTCCAATTGGTCGATTATTTTAAACTGAAGCTCGGTTCAAACACATCGGCCGAATAGGGGCCAAACTTGCTTCTTACCCAACGGGTAGTAAGGCTTTTTGGTCCCTGGCCAAGTCGGTGGAATCGAACTTCTGTCGCCCCTCACTCCCACCACTACTGCGGTCTGATGGGACGCTGGCTTACACCGCAATGGAGAAAGCGGACTTATTCGCCTCTCTTTTTGCGGAGTCTTCGCGTCTTGATGCTGATGGCGCTTCACCACCTTCTATACACCAAGTATGCGAGACTAACATGTCGGACATTCGCATTCGACAGAAGGAGGTCTGCAGAACGTTGCGCAACCTGGACGTGAACAAAGCCAGTGGTCCTGATGGAATCCCGGCCGTAGTACTGAAAACTTGTGCACCTGAGTTAGCTCCAATCCTGACACGTCTGTTTCGCCTATCTTTGGAGACTGGTCAAGTGCCGAAAGCATGGAAGCTGGCCAACGTGCAACCTGTGCCTAAAAAAGGTAGTCGTGCCGACCCTAATAACTATAGACCTATCTCGGTCACGTCCATACTCTGTAAGAGTATGGAACGTGTACTGAATAACAGGCTCCTGGCATACCTTGAAGGTAACGATCTCCTTAGTGATCAGCAATACGGATTTCGCCGAAACCGATCTACTGGGGACCTTCTTGCATATGCCACCCACATCTGGAGCGAGGCCATCGAGAAACACGGGGAAGCGTTAGCCGTATCGCTCGATGTCTCGAAGGCCTTCGACAGGGTCTGGCACGATAGTCTTGTTGGCAAGCTTCCCGCATATGGACTCCCCACTGGTTTGTGCAGATGGATAACAGACTTCCTGAGGGATCGATCCATCCGTGTGGTCATTGACGGCTGCTCATCCAATCCACTTGGTATTAATGCCGGGGTTCCTCAGGGGTCAGTACTCTCAGCAACACTTTTTCTGTTGCACATTAATGACCTGCTCCAGCCCGGTATCTTTGGGTACGCAGATGACAGCACCGTTGTTGAGAGGTATGTGTCCGATGCGCGAACCAGTGCAACTCAAATCCAGTCTCTGAGAGAATCTATGGTAAATCGTCTGAACCTGTCCTTGCAGGCGGTCTCCGATTGGGGTGACGCCAATCTGGTCAGGTTCAATGCCAGCAAAACCCAGGCGTGTCTGTTTTCCGCTAAACGGAGTCGGTTCCCACTGACTCCTACTTTCCGGGGTGTGTCCGTTCCGATGGGTGACCGTCTCGAGCTTCTCGGCGTAACTCTGAAGCCCACTCTCAATTTTGGCTCGTATATCGAGACAAAGGCGCAACTGGCTGGTAGAAAGTTGAGTGTCCTGTCGAAGGTGAGACGGTACTTCACGCCGGAGCAGTTGCTCACTCTTTACCAAACACAAGTTCGGTCTTGTATGGAGTACTGCTCCCATCTTTGGGATGGCTCGGCGAAATACCAGTTGGAAGCCCTCGAATCCATCGAGAGGCGTGCCAAGAAGCTCATCAATAACGATTCGCTTGTGGAGGCTCGGCTACAAAGCCTCGAACACAGGCGCAAAATCGCAAGCCTTTCGGTCTTCTATCGGATACATTTCGGTGAGTGTGCGTGGGAATTGCACAAACTTATTCCCCCTAGTCCATTTCACCACCGTACCACCAGGCGAACGGCGGGACGCCACCCTTATATGGTGGACATTCCACCCATTCGAACGAAGCGTTTCGCGTCAAGCTTCCTCATGCGAACCACTAAGGAATGGAATTCTTTGCCAGAGGCTGTGTTTCCCGCCAAATATGACTTGGGTGTCTTCAAGTCCCGAGTGAACAGGTTGCTCATAGGTAGGCGTGCTCCAT